GAGCGAGGACAGAAGAGCTCCCCGCGAACGCAAAGGCAAGGAAAGGGAGAAGGGCAAGGACAAGGGCACAGACAAGGGCAGAGACAGGGGCAAGCCAGGCAAGGGCAAGGGCGACCAGGAGATGCGACCAGGAGACTGGAAATGTGAGTCTTGTGGGTTCCACAACTTCGCGAAGAACGACGCCTGCAAGCAGTGCGGGAAGTCCAACAAGGCCAAGAAGGCCAACAGGGCAATGCGCGAGTTCCGGGCGAACGGGTCGTGCAAGCGCTTTTGCATCATGTGGATGATGGGCTCTTGCAAAAACTCCAAAAAATGTACGTTCGCCCACGCGCCCCATGAGCTGGCAGCCGCGCGGGATCTTCGTCGTGGATCATGGCTGTGCGAAAAGTGCGGCCGGGTGCTGGCAAGTACTGATCGCGGCTGTTCGAACTGCCACTTTGCCCCAACCAGGAATACCTTGGTGTACGATGAGAGAAGGGGCGATTTTTCGAGATTGTCCTTATAATGCTCAGCCCTCGCGTACTGTACAGCGGCGGGAGGTTGTTGCCGTGCACTGGTGCATGGCATGGTAGTGATACCTTTGCTGACGGCTGCGCAGATATGGAATAGTCGAGGTTGTGTATAAAACATATACCATGCTGTCTCAAGGGGTCCAGTGAACTGGGTCAGTGGCTATTCCTCCTTATCCTGAACTGGGTCAGAGGCACATCAAACAAGACATCGGCTGGCCAGCAGGTGCCTCGCTGAATTTTCGTATCCGACGATGGCCCCAGAGAAGCTCTGGGTCACCTTGGGATCTACATCTGTCGACGAACAATGCGCCCGACAATATATATATATATATATATCATTGCAGAATTTCTCATCGTATGCGGCACATGCGGTAGAACTGCAGCAGGCACTCACTATGTGTCTCCTGCACTTCTTGACCCCCCCCCTTGCCGCCCCCTCTGCTCAGTCATTCGCCTCCTCCTCCTGCTTTCTCCCTTCGATCTGCTCCGCGCGCCGTACAGTTTCCTGGTCCGCAGGCTCCCCGCGACCGCAGCGGCCCTCGGTGGGCAAAAGCGGCCCCCGGAAGACGCCGCCTGCGCTCGGCGAGCCTCGCCGAGTGCAGGCGACGTCCCGGGCCCGGGCCCGGCCTCCTATCTGAGGGAGGCCTCGGGGGCGCTCCAGAGGGGGGTGATGACTGAGGGGGGGTGGATATCATGGCGGGGGCTGTGATGTCTCCCCAGGTTTCATGGCGCCCCTTCTTATTTCGTCATGTCCCAGGCCCCCCCCCCCCTGGGCCGCGCACATGCCGCGGGCCATGATTTGCGCCTCCGCCTCTTGGACACCCCCCTCTTGGCCGCCCCCGAGGGAGGCCAGGCCCGGCTAGTCGCTGATCGAGGAGCGGCCGCCGTGGGGGCGGCCTGGCACGAGCTGGAGAGGAGAGAGCGTGGGGGAGGCCGGTTGTCAGGGCAGCCCGGAGGAGGCAAGGGTGCCCCCAGCGCTACACCCTCCCCTCGCTTTCGCCCTGTGCTGGGCCTCCTGGGTGGCCCTCGTGGCCACCGCTGGACTCGATCCAGAATTCTGGTCAGAGAGCGCCCCGGGAGAGGTCCGGGGAGTCAGGGGCAATCGTAGGGGGGGATAGGCATGGTGGGGGATTCATTGGCCCCCAATCGCCCATTCATCGCCGACAGGGGCCGGAAAGCCCCATCCCGCCAATGAGCGTGCGGATTTGCTATCGGGGGCACATTGCCGATCTACCAGCGATGCATCGCGGATTCCAGATCGACGTTTCCCCCCGTATGCCAGTCCCTACCTATGGTTTCAGGCCGGACGAAAGGATAGGATAAAGAAATGGGGGGTTACGATTTTTGCTGCATGCAGCTGTTTTCGGCCCCGCTGCTGGACCCATTTCTGGATACGTGGGCCCCTCCAGGCGACAGGAGGCGCCCGGAAAACCAGCTACGTGAGCTGATTATCTACCTTACCTTTGCTACCCTACTCTTTCATGCTCCCTATCCTTGTCTCTCAAGGAGGAGGACGACGTGGAGGACCTCTTACGCCCACCTCTGCCTCTAATTGCCCAGGGTGCCGCCTGAACGTTCGCCCTCCTGGGCGGCGGAGGCCGCACGGGAGGGGTGGGGCATCGAGGCTCGACCCGAGGTTACCGTCGGCCATCAGGCCTTATCGGGCCATCCTGGAACGTTGCAGCTAATGCATGATCTTGCCCCGTCGTTCACTTCTGATCGAAAATCATACAACACCAGGAGGGCCGGTGTCGACCCCCCCCAGTCATCCCCGTCAGCGAATACCATGCGTGCGCGTTCGCTTCTTCAGGAGGCCATGTCTCCAGAACCGCGTACAATAAAAAGCACAGAGTCCACACGCGCGCTCGCACGTGTCGAAGTCATAACGACCACATCAGTCCTGCAAGCATGTCAACCCAAACGCATGAAGCGCGTATAGGTTTCGCAGAATTCCTGCTCGCGCGCACGTGCTGAAACCAAAGGGAAACCATCTGACTCTAGTAATCCGGTAGAGGGAAACGATTACAGAACACTCCCCCTCCCCCTCAAACTCAAAGTTGGCACGCGCGGGGGAGACTGCGGTCGAGGTGCAACTCATCAGACCCACCGCCAACTTTGAACAGTGTGGAGAGGGGGAGGCGTTGACAGATGAATGTGGCATGAATGTTCGCTTTTTTGTCTTTCCAGAATTCCGCGTTTTTCACCTCCCCACGCGGTGTATTCGCGTTGATCCAGCATGCGCCCAGCGCACGCGGCCACATCAAAGAATCACCATGCGGGCCACCTGAGGGGCCGCCACGCGAGCGTGTCGAGATCTTGCCAAAACCATTTGTTTTCAAAGCATTTCAAGATGGAGCTCTTCAGATATGAAAGCCATGGGGCTTTCAACAGCTGTTTGCCAGTATTTCAGACATTCTGCGCGCGGTGTTTCCGCATCAACCTCATCAGTGCCATCACATTTCCGCCTGCATCGTCATCGTCAATCGCCGCCATTGCTGGCATCATCATCACAGTCTCCTTCATCAGCAGCACATGGACATCATCATCAGCATCATCAGCATCATCATGGTTATCAATCATCATCATGATCATCATCATCATCATCGTCAACATCCTCATCGTGGTTATCATCATCGTCATCGTCATCGTCGTCACCAGCATCGGCGCCGATATTAGCCTTGCCTTCGTCATCGTCATCATCGCCTCCACCATCGCTATTATCATTATCGTTGCCGCCGTTGCCGATGTCATCAAGATATCGCGCCTGCGCGAGTCAGCGATCCGCGCTGAAGTGCCCGCGCGCCAGCCCGACCTTTGAGGCGCGCTGGGAAGTTCCCACCAGTAAGCGCCATCGCGGCCGCATCATTTGTGCCAAACCAGCTGCTCGCTCTGCGCGCGAGCGTACGCGCGCCAGCGCGGCCATAGAGATGCACAAGCATGCGCCAAACAGTGCAGTGGCGCCGGCGCTGTTTCAACAAAATAGCAGACCATATTGCGAATCACACCATGGATGTCCAGCTTTCTTGGTGTCAGAAGTATGTACCTCCTGTGGATGGCATGCCCGTGCAGAGGGCGAATTATCTGATACACACTGATGGCGGAACCCGGGCAAAACGGTGTTCAGCAGTTGCTTGGTACGTCGAAGCCCACGTCAAATTACCGAACGAGACAGTATCGTATCCAATCTGCATGGCAGGAACCTTTCTTAACGATCCAGTTTCATCCTTTACCGCAGAGGCCGTCGCACTTGAGCAAGCCGTAGATTTTAGCTGGGGGCCTCCTTTTGAAACCATGCAACGACGATATCAGGCTAGTGCTATCGCGCTTCACGCCTTCGGAAAGAAATAAAGAAAGCATTTGCCAAACAGCAACCGCAAGCGTGGCCGAATGGGTTTTGCTCACAAGTTGCGGGTAGGAGGGTGAGATGGTTGTGGGAGCAATGGAGCTGTCAACACATGAGTGGAACATTGAACTGCAGTCCGTAGCTGGCACTACATCTGTTGAACCACGTTGAGTGCATACCTTGAGTTGTGGCGCAACGTGGGTTGTAGCACGTGTGCTGCGCCGCACACGTACATGTATCCTCATAGCATGCTTTCGATCATCTGTCCAATATGTTCGTATTGCACATCTTTGACTGCACGCCTTGTACTGAACCTCTAGCCTTAGAGTCCGCCGCATCGATTGCACCACATGTGTCGCGACACATTTGCACCCTATAGAACGCACCACATATGTATACATACATATGCATAAGTAGAAACACATATCTATACATGCATATACATGTAAATCGGAATATATACATATATATGTCTTTATATATACACGCCGCCCTGTATACTACGTTTACTGTGTGCAAGCCCGCATCCAGCGGCCCACGCAAGCAAGCACGGTAAGTATTAGAACCCGCAGAATCGTGCCGACGGTTCGGTGTCGAGCATGTGCGTGCGTGGGTATTTGTGTGTATGGGCGTTGGCTGTGCCGGGGAGGCCAGCCCGCAGAAGCGGGGCCCCTCCGAGGAGCTCTCGCGGCCGAGCCGCCCTCCGCCTCGCTCCAGGCGCTGCCCAAGAGCGGCTACGCGCCTCCTTCCTTGCAGCATTGCGCTGCTGCTGCTTCCCAAGCCCATCTTTCCACTCTGGGATTGCCATGGTGCTTCCGCGTCCTCTGCTGTCCCTTCCATCGCGGGCAGCTCGCCTGGCACCCCGGCTCGTCGGGTTTCAGCCTTGGCGCACATTCCGCACCCTGTCGGTGTCGATCGTCGGATGCCGCCGTCTCCGTCTGCGGATGCTGCCTGAATTTTCTCACTCCCCACCTTGCCAGGGTGGTCATGTAAGATCAATCCATTGTGGTCCCGCCTCTAAGGGCCCGGCCGCGCGCGTTAGCTCTGTGCCGTCTGCTCGACTTGTTCCTCCTCTTCGCCGCGCACGAGGCCGCGATCGCCAAATGTGCGTGTGTATATATATATATATATGTATGTATGTGTGTGTGTGAGTGTGTGTGTATGTGTGTGTCTGTGTTTATGTTGTTTGCGTGTTCTGTCCCTTACGAGAGATGCCACGGATTCGGATAGCTCGTGCTCGACACACGGTCGTCCGCAGTTCATGTTTGTTTGGCTTGCTAGATGCTTATTCGGCTGATGTGCCCATGTGAGCATTCGCGCCTGTTCTGGTTCGTGTAGGCGTTACGTCTGTGTCCAGCAAGAGCAGATGAATCTAGCGCGACAGCCTTTTGAGCCAGGGCTGGCTGAGTCCGATATCGCGCCGCGGAAGCTTCGTTTCCAAGGCCACAGGGGTTGAAGTGTCTGGCAGCCCAACCAGAGGGAAAAACATTGGATGATGAGGGTACGGAGATGGACGCGGAGAGGGAGTAGTCAGAGGAGGAATGTTATTACGAGAACACTCATCAGTGTTCGGGTGAGAGGCTCGGGTTCAGCGCCTCCTCTTGGTAGTGCTGGCATCCCCTTCCATCCTTGTCAGGCCATCCAATTTGTCGGATGCGTGGGTATGGAGCCGAAGAAGAATAGTTCCATAATCATCGACTTTTGGAGGTTGCGCGGATTTCTTGAATCAGCGCCTAATCCCGATCACAACACCCCTGCCCGCAGAGGGCTCACCGCGCCAGCGAGGGCGAATGGGGAGGGGGGTCCAGCGCCGATTCAATAAATCCGCGCGGACCTCCAGCATTTTTTAACCATTACCCTCGCCGTCCAATTTGTCGGGCGTGTGGCTGCGGATGCGACGCAGATCCGTGGATGCTGAAAAGGCTGGCGGTCTTTCAGAACAAGACAATGACCGACCACAACTCTGCTTAGCTTGGTTTGGGCCTTTGTTTCGTATGGTGTTTCGGTTCGTTTGCGGTTTATGTTTCGTTATGTTTCTTCGGCCTAGAGAGCCGGCGGGCCAAAGGCGCCGCGGCAGACCCAAACCTAATTAGGCGAAGGGTGTTTTCAAGCACGCGCTTGCAGCTGCTGGCAATGAAGAGAGGCTCAACACACTGCTGAGCCACAGGCCACAGAGTGAGTGGGAAGCCGTTGTGAAGGAGTACTGCCATAACGGCGCTTAATTTTTTTACCGTACTAATGTACCGTTTTGTGCACGCAGTCTTTTGCTTGCTTGCTTGCTTGCTTGCTTGCTTGCTATGTTTCTTCGCTTTTTGCTTTTAACGCCTCATTTCGTTCTTCTTTTCGTCTTACACCGGTTTCGTGTTGAAAGGCCATTTCAAAACGTTGGGCTTCGTTTCGCTTGTGTTTTTGTTTGTGCTCAACGCCTCAGTTCGTTTTTCGTTTCGTTTTGCAGCGTTTTCGTGTTTAACGGTCGTTTTGCGACGTTGGGCTTCGTTTCGTTTTCGCTTTCAACGCCATTTCGTTTCAAACATCGGTGTGGTCGGTCCTGGGACCCAGATGGTCGGAGGCATGGCGGAGACTTCTGGCCCAGGGCTCGTCCACGGGGAGGGGCAGCGGAGTCGCCGTCACTCGCGCCACGAAGGAATGTCGCCGCGGGTGCGCCACAGCCCAGCCGAGCTTGCCGAGCTCGTTCGCTGTCCTGGCCGCTCCAGTCTTGGCAAGGGGCAGTGCCAAGACGGCCACAGCTCGAGGAAGAAAAAACAGCGCGAACATACACTTCTGCAGAGCTCGTTCGCTGTACTGGTCGCTCCGGTCTCGGTAAGGGGCAGGGTCAGAACAGCCACAGCCCGAGGAAGAACGTTCGACATAGACATACTCTTTCGGAGTTCCGCGCGGATCTCCACAACAGTTTTTGTTTGTTCTGTCCGTTCTTCCTCCAGCAGAGCACGGTTTCTTGGGGCGACTGCGTGCAGAGGCCGGATGCGGTGGACACGCCCGTCGTGAAGGGCGACAGGCTCGACCAGGACGATCTTCAGTCGAGCCCGCGGGCCGTGGATTCCGACATGCTCCAGTCAATCACTTGGAGAGAGCCGTTTCATCCAGTAGTTACCATGCGAATGCCAGCCGACTCTTCGCCGTGATTTGCACATCAGTGCGGCACGCGAAGTGCACACACGCACTCTTCCCCCTCGTCCATCTCATGCCTCGCCAACCTGTCCGTGTGGAGGGGTGGGTCGGGCGAAAGGCATTCAGAGCTCATGTTCCGCTTGGACAGCTCAGGCCCTTACATTACGCCGCAGCATGCGCGGCAAACATCGGGCATGACTTATCGTATGTCCCGGCCGAGGCAGGGGGGATACGATCAACTTGCACGTACCATTGACTGTCAAGTGGACGCACTTCACTTGACGGCAGAAGAGCACGTATGGCGTGGACGAGGGCATAGATGCAGCCCGAAGTGTGCTGCTGGACACTCGACCTGTTCACGCAGTCGGTCCTCGACGTGACCACGGGCTACCTTGCCTTGGACATCTGGACCTCAATATGCTCACACAGTTGGGCACTCGGCATTTCAAGCGGACCAAGTCCACGCGGAAGGCGGCTGGTGCCAGGATCGCATTTCGCGAGCAGTGGCCCCCCATCCCGCGGATTTTGCGTACTTGCTGGCAGGATGGTGCGTCGCACTTCATTTCTGGTGCGCCGCGATCTACAGCCGGTTCGTTGAGAAGCGCGAACACATACATATTGCCAGTGGAGGGGCTCAGCTGTAGGTTCTTGCGTCTCGATGTGCCGTCTTGATGGTGAAATTCTTGTACTGTGCAATCTAGGTGTTCTCATCTATATGGTGCACTGCATGCGATGCAATCTATACGAGGAGGAGTAAAGGGGGAGTAAGGGACAAGGATGATGATGATGATGATGCTGATGCTGATGATGATGATGATGATGATGATGATGATGATGATGATGATGATGATGATGATGATGATGCGGATGCTGATGATGCTGATGATGATGGTGCTGATGCTGATGCTGATGCTGATGACGAGTACTATGCTGATGCTGATGATATGGAGCTGATGATGCTGATGATAAATTGTGATGATGGTGATGGTGATGATGATGGTGATGGTGATGATAATGATGATGCTGCTGCTGATGACGATGCTGATGATGCTGATGCTAGTGGTGGTGGTGGTGGTGGTGGTGGGGGTGATGATGATGCGACGAAGGAAACGGCAGAGGATTAGGAGGACGACGACGACGATGCTCACATGCTGCCCCGTAGGCGTCCTTCACGTTGCGCGTCTTGACCTGGCAACTCCACGCGACGCGGAGGGGGCGACGACCCATCGACAGCGATGGGCCAGGTGTGCTGCACGCTGGATGGGGAGCCCACGGACGCGCTGGAGGCCTTCTCCGTACTCCGTCCTACGCGTGGCATGCACAGCTTTGCAACGCTCCAGCGGCCAACTCTCGCCCCTCCCTGCTCTATCTCTTCCTCTTCCCCCTTCCTCACATTACTCCCACCCCCCCCTCTCCCCCTCCCTCTCCGCAGAGGTCACCTATACACTACCATCGTGCCTGGCCAGGACCATCCTGGGCTCTACGCTGGTTCTAGACCCTCCTTGCCCAGGAGGGTGTACACAACGTGCCAGGGCCCAGGATAGCCCTGGGAAGGCACGGTGGTGGCGTATATATGCTTTCTGTGTGTATTGCGAAGGCCTTACGGCCAGTGCCGCCAACCCCCGCCAACCCTGAAGGACGACGACGACGACGATGACGACGACGACGATGACGACGACGACGACGACGACGACGACGACGACGACGACGACGACGACGACGACGACGACGACGACGGTGGCGGCGGCGACTACGACGACGCTGACGTGGGCCAGAGTCCTCAGGTATGCTTCTTGGGGTCTCTTCGGAATGCTATCAGGGGCTTCTGGGGAGGAATTTTGGGACCTCTTGGGAGCCTCTTTGGGGCCTGTTTGGAGCCTCTTGGGGGCCTCTTCGGGCTTCCTGGGGACCTCTTTGTGGGCCTCTTGAGAGCCTCTGGGGGCCTTCTGGGAGCTTCTCAGGACCGAGGGATCGAAATGTCCGTTCGGGCCCCCGTCTGGGAACGCTCTTGGAGTCGTCTTGGGGGCCTCTTGGGCCGTTTTGCAGGTGTTTGGGGCTGTTTTGGGGTCCTCTTGGGCTGTCTTGGGTCCCTCTTGGACGCCTCTTGGGCCGTCTTGGGGTGACCTTGGGGGCCTCTTGGGCCATCTTGGAGCGGCGGGAAGCGGAGCAGCTGGAATTCTCAGGCGCTCTTCTGCAGAAGTGCGAGGCGCCATCGGTGGAAGAAAGCCCACTGCGTACGGCCTTTTCGCCAAACGGACTTTCTGGCGTTGCAGGCGACGCACCGCTCGCCTTGTAGCGTCGCAGTCGCCAGCCTTCCGTCGGGCACACGTTCGTGGTGGTCGCATGGCACGCAGACTATCGGCGGAATTGGCATCATAGTGCAAACCTCATTTCAAGATAGATTTGGGGGTTCAGCAGCGGCGACATGGGTAGAGGTCTCAGCTGGTCGCGCAGCCGTTCTTCAACTTGACGGCCCTCGAGGTTCACTGGACATTGGTGTTCTGTACCTTCCGACCGGCCAGGCTCGGGATCAGCGCTCTGCCATCAGGAGTGCTCTCGCCAGGGCGCTTCGCCCAAGGTCTCGCGCGGCCACGCTCCTGCTGGGCGACTGGAACGTCGTGCGGGAACCGCGAGATAGGCTCTCGCTCTCGGAGTGTCGCGGGACTCCAGGCACCGACGTGCGACATCATTGTTCGATCCTCACAGCTTTCACGAGGTCTTCCAGCCAGAGTGCACGCACATGGCAGCACAATGCACGTCGCGACTGGACAGGGCTTGCGTCAATACGCACTTGGCGGAGCAGCTGTACCGTTCGTGGTCTTGCGCTGCCCTGGACTGGTGCCCGAAACTGTCCACGCATCGCCCGATTGAGGTGGCGCGCCGATCGGCTCCAGACTGCGCTGCCCAGCGGCTGCAGATCCCAACGGCCCCATCCCGTTGCAGGGACTGGGCCCCGCAAGTGGCTCAGCGCTGGCTGCAGCTCCGCCGTGAGGATGATCTTCCAGACACCTCGCACCGGCGCCTCCTACTCCTCAAGCGCGCCATATGCCAGGTGAGCAGGGAGGCCTCTTCCAAGGGACTTTCGCCTCAGGCCGAAACTTCAGAGGACCGCCTCGGCGCGGCCATCCGGTGCCTACGAGCGGCGGAGGCCGGGCGCCCGCTTGCGGTCGAGCGTGCAATCCGGGAGTGTCCGGAGATCGCGCGGCGCGCGGCTGCTTCGGATCTGATTCGGGGGTCCGCGGACGCTGTGGAGCGTCTCCAGGACTTCATCGTCGAGCTGGCGCGTGCCGACATCGTCGATGGACTGCGCAGGGACTTGCCGCAGCTCTCCGATTCAGCAGCCGCTGCCAGGCGCGAGCGCATAGCTGCCAAAATCCGGCGGCTCAAGCCTGGGAGCACCGCTCAAGTACGGGCCTTTCGATGCCAGGACGGGTCGATCGCCGCGAGCCCAGAGAGCATCGCTGCTGCGCTGGCAACGCATTGGCGACATGTGTTCGCCGGTCAGGACATAGACCAGGCAATGCTGGCGAGCTGGCTTGCCGAAGCCGACCCGACGTGGGCGAGAGATCCGCTCCCTCAGGCGGCAGCGTCCTGGGCGGTGACGCGGGCAGATGTGGCTTGGGCAGTCCGCGCCGCGCAGAACTCGCCGCAGGGCCCTGACGGTATCCCAATTTTTCGGTGGAAGCGTTTGGGAAGGCTGGCCGTGGATGTTTTGCACGACGCCGCCGTGGGTTTGAGTTCGCCTTCTGCTGCCGCGGACATCCGCGAGGCGTACCAGGACGACCCGAGAGGCCTGGGGCCTTCAATCTCGGCGTGCTCTGCTGCATCCCGACGGGCGCTGGCGAGTTGGACGCCGTGGCTGGGGCGGTTCACTCGCCCAGCTGCACGAGGCCTTAATCGCTGGTGGACGTGGCCAACCGCTTGCTGGCGGCAGCCTACAAGCGCCGGTGGGAAGCGAGCCTAGGCACATGGGTGTCCGACTCACAGAGGGGCTTTTTACCGGGGCGGTCCATGCTTCTCAACGTCATCGAACTCGAAGCTGGTGCGATGCGGGCCGCGTCTGGCAGCCGACAGGGCATGGCGTCTTGGTGGACTTCAAGGCGGCCTTCCCCTCCGTGTCCCACAGCTTCTTGCAGGGTTGCCTGGAAGGCTTTGGCGTCCCAGAAGCAGCCAGGACTGCACTTCGCGCATTCTATTTCGACAGTGCGTGCAAAGTCTCGGCCGGCGGGGCCCTGTGGGACGGATTCCTTAAGATGTCTGGTATTCGTCAGGGGTGTCCACTATCCCCGCTTCTCTTTGCGGCGTGTATGGACCTCTTTCTGCACGTCCTCCAGCGCCGCCTGGGCGCGAACTGTCTGATTCGCGCCTTCGCCGACGACGTGGGGTTCGTTATTGACGGCGTTTCGGCCCAGCTTCCAGTGCTGGCCCGCGCATGGGGCAATCTCTCGAGCATGCAGCTGACTTCGGAGAAGATGGTCGGCATCCCCCTCTGGGAGCAGCCGATGGATGCCGTGCGCGAGGTGGTGGCGGCTGCCGCGCCCGCGTGGTCGGCGCTCCCGTTGCGGGCAGATGCAACCTACCTGGGATGCGTGATTGGCCTTGGGAAGGTCGGCAAAGAGTGGGACAGAGCAGCTGCGCGATTCCAAGAGCGGGTGGCAGGCTGGCCACGGCGCGCGCGCGCGGGCTCCACTTCGCCACGTTCGTGTACAACGTGCACGCGCTGCCGGTGCTCAGCTTCACCGCGCAGTCGGCGAAGGCCACGGATAAGCTGATGGAGCTGGAGGCTTGGGCGTTTCGTCGGGCTGTTCCTGGTTCCTGGCCCAGGGAATTGGGTGCTGGCAGAAGACTTGTGGAGGCTGGACACGCACTACAGTGCGCCTCGGGCATTTGGGCGCCTGGGCCACCTCGCCCGCGCGGCGCAACTCCGTGCCGCGGCGCACCGGGACCTTCGGCTTGGAGCCCACGGGCTCGCAGGCATGCTGCGCGGCGCGCGGGTTGCGTGGGCCGACGCCGCTTACCGTGCGCGCGGCGCTCTCTGGGCAGAGTGGCCGCAGGCCTCCGTGCTCGGCGTGCTCGTCAGCAACCAGGAGTCCATGCGTAGCAGTGGCATCACGGCGGAGCGGGCGGTAGCTGCTCTGGCGGGCGAGAATGAGGACAACCTCACCGCCGAGCATTCGGCTGCCACGCGGCACAGCTTGCAGGCGGAGCTGCGGCGCGACCTGGCACGGCGGGAGCCCGAGAGGGTGCATTTCCGGTTTCGCCACGAGCTGTCGTACTGGATTATGCCGGGTTTCCCGCGCATCCTTGCGGAGAGATTCCCGACTGCGCGGTCGCCGGTCGCGGCTCCGGCGTTTGGTGCCGCCGCGGGTGATCGCGGCCACTTTTCGGACCGCATTGAATGGGTGGTGCACGGCAAGGCGCCTCCAACAGCGCGACCAGCCGCGCGACATCTGCATGCTGGGGTGCAGTCTGGCGGCGAAGGACAGTATTAAGCATTGCTGCCGTTGCAGCGTTGTTCGCCGATTTCATGCCGCGTCGCTGCGCATGGAGTCCGAGTGGCTGCTGCCGCGGTCGCTTGGTGTTCGCGCCCAGCAGGCGCGCGACGACGACAAGCTCGCTCTCGCGGCTTTAGGCGTGCATGCCGTCTATCGGGCTACGAACGTGGCGCGGCAGATCGGGGGGCTGTCCTCCGCAGCTGCGGAGCGCTCTCTGCAGCAGTCCTTGCGGGAGGCGGTGGGCGGGCACGCCCTGGCCGGGTGGCTGATCGGCCGCGTCTGGGCGCAGGGGGCGTGCTTTTTCCCCAGTCGCCCCCCCCCCTTCCTCCTCTTCCTCCCCTTCCTCTTCCTCCTCCTCCTCCTCCTCCTCCTCCTCCTCGTTCTCCCCCCCCCCTTGGCCTGAGTGGTTTCGCGCCCTGGCTGGGCGGAGGGGCGGCCCCGCGGCTCGGCGGGCGCCGCCCCGCCGCCAGACGCCTCGTGATGGCGATCGGTCGCTTCCCCTCCTTCCTCGCCCCCCCCCCCCCCCCCCTCTTGGGTTCCGAATGGTTTTCGCGCCCTGGCCGGGCGGAGGAACGGCCCCGCGACGCCGCGGGCGCCGCCGGACGCCTCGAGGGGGCGCTCGCTTTGTTGCTCGTTTGGTTGTAAGTAGGTTATTACTTCGATATCATGGTATAGCTGGTTGTTCGCGTGGTCCAAAACGGCGCAGGTTATATCTAGGTTACGCATGCGATTTCATGCTCGACATTCGTTTGCAACGCATGCACAGCTGACAATCGAGTGCCAATCGATAGCACGCAACGTCGATTTTAACTATACACATCTCGAAAATCAAGAGGCGTTGCCATCGATTTAAGGCGTTGCGTCCTTCTCGACAGCCGGATACTCTTTAAAGGTCTGAGGTAGCGCGCGCAGCATGCCGCGCGGATGCGCGCGCCCAACTCAGCCGCGAACTTCGCCCCAAAAGCGGGCGGCCACGTTGTGGGCGACAGAAGTGTGCGCCTTGTCGGTCGCCTGGAAGATCGCGTAGCCACGCAGGGTGAAAGCGCCGCGCGTGAGCCGTGCAGCCGCCTCTCGCTCAAAGAAGCTCTTAGAGAAGTCCTTCGGGAGGCGCCGCAAGAGCTCCGCCGTCGTCTCGGAGACCTTGCTGCAGTTGCGGCCCGCATGCGGCGCCGCCGAAGGCTTGTTGGCAGGCGCCGCGGAAGGCTTTTTGCGGGATGGATCGGCCGTCTTGGGGGCCTTCTTGCGGCTGCGCTCTGTCTTGCCAACCTAGAGGGGCTCGTCGCCGGAGGCGTCCTCCTCCTCGTCAGAGTCCTTGCTCTTCTCATGGCCCATCAACTTCGCGAGCACCCCCCTGGGTGTCTCGACGGTGGCCGCGACGCCTCCTGGAGCGGGCGCGGCTGCAGCGACGTCTGCAGCATGCGCCGCGGCTGCCATTGCTGGAGGGCCCCGAGCACCCTCCCCCCCCTCCTCCTCGATCGCCGCCCCCGCGCAGGCCGCGTCCTCGACCGCGAGTCGCGCGGCCGAGGTTGCAGAGGTCTTCGAGGGGCAACGCCCCTGCGCTGGAGACCCGCCGCCCCCACCCTGCAACCTGCGCAGCAGGACATTTGCAGAGTCCTCGGTTCGCCTGCCGAACGGCCGCCTTGATCGACGGGCGCGCCGCGGGCCGCGCATCCCCTGCGAGGGCAGCGTTTTGGGACCTCGCAGGCATCAAATCATTCCGCGTCAGCTGCTTGATCCCCATTTGGGTCAACTCTCGACTTGACGGGGCCATCGCCCCCGTCGTGCGCCCTGGGGTACTGCCTGGTGAAGTCCGTTGGATCGATGGGGCAGGTCATGGGCGCCATCTGGCCCGAGACGATCAATTTCTTGGCGGCTACCTTCCTCTTGAAGTTGAGGAGCTCGTCGCACGTCTCATCGGGCATGAGCGAGCGCCCGTGGCAATGCGACAAGATGGCGAGCACATCCTTGATAGTGGGGTCCGACGGGTGCCGCGCGCCAGTCTTGAGGAGGAAATCGGCCATCGTTTCCTTCTTCATCTCCCACGAGTTGTCCTTGGCCATGTCTGTTTCCCAAAGCCCTTCTGTCAAGTAATGGCGCAGGTGCAGATGGGTCTGAGTCTGCGAGGCGCCTGAGCAATCAGCGCGCCCGCCTTTCATGCGCAAAGAAAGGGTTGACGCCATTGCGGCCCGCTGCTCATCAGCGAAGATGGTCGCGGGTTCGGCCGGCGCCGCCAATGTATTAGCGCTGTCTTCGATGTCCCGGGGCGTGCCCTTCACTGCTTCCAAGAAATGTGCAAGGCGAGCCTGGCGCGAGTCCTGCCGGGGCGATGGGGGAATGCATGCGGGGGGAGGTGGGGGGTGGCGATATGCCGACAATCGCGCGATAGCGTTCGTTGTGTTTCTCCGGCGTCGATCGTAAACAACCCCTTCCCCGCTGGAGTGGCCGTGGCCATAGGTTTACACCCGCGCGATGGGCAGCGCGAAGGTTTCGGGGGGGGGGGGGGGCATTCACCACCTGCGGGGGAGGGGGGGGGGGGCAAGCGTTGTGACTGGCCCACCTAATATATTGCCCTACCTCGTTTTCCCATCTTCGATTTATCTTGATCTCGCCTTTCCCAATTTAACTTTTGTTTTCCCATCTCTCTCTCGCTCTCTCTCTCTCTCTCTCTCTCTCTCTCTCTTTCACCCCTCCTATCTCTCTCTCTCTCTCTCTCTCTCTTTCTCTATCTCTCCTCCTCCTCCTTTTTTTTTTTTTTTTTTTTTTTTCTCTCTCTCTCTCTCTCTCTCTCTCTCTCTCTCTCTCTCTCTCTCTCTCTTTCTCTCCCTCCCTCTCTCTCTCTCTCTCTCTCTCTCTCTCTCTCTCTCTCTCTCTCTCTCTCTCTCTCTCTCTCTCTCTCTCTCTCTCTCTCTTCTGTGTTTTTTGATGTTTTGTGTGTTTTCTTGTTTGTTCTTCTTTTTTGTTTTTCTCTCTCTCTCTCTCTCTCTCGCGCGTTCTCTATCTCCATCTCCCTCTCTCCCCGCTGAACGAGTTTCCCTCCGTCTCTATCCCTCCGTCTCTAATTATCCCTCTCTCTATCTCTAGCCCTCTCTCTCTCTCTGTCTCTACCCTCTCTCCCCCCCGCCCCCCCCCCCCCCCCCCCCCCGGAAAGACCCGCCGAGAGTCTGGCATCCTCCGGGCCCGCCCGCGCGCCGCCGAAGATCTGCAGCCCCCGCTGGGTGAACTTCGCAGGGGCGCTGCGCACATTCAGGATGGTTGCGCGGACCCACTAGTTTGCCGACAGTAGAGCCTGCGCAGCTAATGCCACGACAACCGATGAGACCATGCCCATGCGAAGATGAGCGCCCGATTCTCGATGGCCTAAAATGCGCTGGAGTGGAGCGGGCTGGGTCAGTATAATGTTACATGTGTCGCGCCTCGCAGCGGCGTGGGCGACCCAGAACAGCTCTTGCCCGCCGGGGCGTTCAGGAACCAAGGGCTAGAAACCTGGTGGTGGGGGACAGGTGTTTGTCTTCCCCCTGGCTTCTCTGGATCTTTGGATATTAAGATCTCGAGGTTTCCTGGGTGGGCGTCGGTGGCCGGATGGTCTGGGATGCGGCCCTTCACGGGGGAGGGGCGGGGTGGCCGGGGGGCTGGGGGACAGAGGGGAGGGCGGCGAATGTCGCGCCCTGCTCCGTGGAGCCGCATCGATTATCGCGCCGCGCGTTTCGACGATATCGAATTCATATGTGAATGCCGCTGTTGCCGACCCAACATATCGTTCATGCTTGCGATGGATATGATGGGGCCATGGACAAGTGTTTGGGGAAACGTAAGAAAAGCTGGCACTGAAACTACTGCCAGCCAAGGGGGCAGCCGCCCTCGCCGCGGCGCGCCGCTGCACGGCGGCGTTGCGCTCGGCCTCGGCCTCGTCCTTCTCGAGGGCGGCATCCATCCAGCGCGCGCGCATCTTCTGCTCCTGCGGGGTCAGGGGGGGGGGGGGGGGGGGGGGCCTATGCCCGCAAACCCCTAAGCGCCAAAAGATTTAACACCCAACCCTCCCCCATAAAAACTACAGACGTGTTTGTTGTGTGAGATAATGCATTGCTGACGCGCGCCGCTATTTCCTTCTGCTTCTTTTCGCAATCGCGCTTGGCGATGGTGAGGGGCTTCTTCTGGGTTTCCACTGCAGCCTTCTTCTGCCCCCGAGCCTTCTGGCGCTCGTCGCGGAGGTCAGCCAAAGCCTGCGCCTCCATCGCGCGCTGTTTCGCACTCCTAGGGGCCGCGATCGCGATGCGAGCTGTCGACGTGGAAGCTGGGTCGAAACTGATGCATCTAAAATTGCCGTCGGTTGACGACGACGAAGTGAGCGGCGACCGGCGCGCGGAGAGCGGCGGCGGTGGCGGCGTTGGCGGGGAGGTGGAGGGGGTGCGATGGTGAGAGAGCAGGGGCCGGTGTATTCTTAATCTCCCTGCCAACCACACGTTGTTCTCACTCGTTCGCGATTTAATCGCAACGGTTGTCTATCGAACCGAGCGCGGCGCGCAGGCGAAAACTGCTTTTTGATAAGGTTATCGTTCGACTCGCTTCGGAAGCCGATGCGCGCGACGCTCGTGCGATTGCATGCACCAGCCCACGCGATAATGAGCATTGCAGGCCACTTGGGGGCTGGCCCGCGCGCGAGAACAATTGACGGATCAGACGGTGACCGGCGCCGTGCTGACATTTTGGCATGGGCGCCGACTTGAGCGACGATCGATGCCAACTCAAGCATGCGCAACCATGACGTGGCACAGATTTTACATGACACGGTAGTCGGGCATTCAACAGTGGATGTCCGCTTCAATCGACCGCTGCTTTGCCGGGGCCCTGGCAGGAGGGATCACTCGGCGGGCGGCGCCTTGCACCTCGCACCGCGCAACTGCGTCTACGATGTCCTCGGAATCCACGAAGCGCCTCCCAACACGTGGTTCCCAACAGTTATGTCCCATCCCACACTTGCGGCACGCCGTCGCGCGGGCGATAATGGCGTCGCCGCCTGGAGCTTGCCGCAAGCCCCTTGCGTTCGCCACCTCGTCCGAATGCATTTACAACATGTCCCCGCGATTGAGCTGCCCGTGTCGTAGCGCGGCAGCGTGCGACGCGTGGAATTGCGCGCCCAGAAAATCTGGCTCTGACCAGGGTCCGAGATACATTGGCTGGAACAGGCTCAAATCGTCATTGAGCGCGACCATCTGCCTGGAAAGTATAATTTTGATCGCTGTGTTGTCGATGTGGCGGAATATATGCATCGCGCAACGCTTGGTAATCCTGCGC